GCCCTCATCCTTGTGTATGAGCCCAAAGATAATACCCGAAGCCCTAAACCCTAAACCCTAGCCCTAAACCCTAAACCCAGTAATTGGGGAGAGAGTCTGGGCTAACCAGCTCGTACCGAACGATGGAGCGGTTGTTGATCATGAAATGGTTCGTGATCCTGGTCACACTGGTGCTTGTTGGTAATTAGCGTTAAGAAATGTCGAATGACAAATGTCGCGTGTCGAATAAGTTTTGGCAGTTTGGTCGGTTGCAAATAAATTTTAACGCCCCCGGTTTAGGGTTTGGCGTTTAGGGTTGTTTCCCGAGAGTTGAGAGGGGGTTAGGGCTTAGGGTTTGGGATGTAGGGTTGGCGGCTTGCCAGGTGGGTTGGGGTTGATGAACCGGGTTGTGGTTTAGAAGAGTTTGGGGTTTGGGGTTGACAAGGGTTTTGGGCTATCTTAAGGGATTAGGCTTACCAAGGGCTTAGTTAGGGCGCACAAGGGCTTAGGGTCTGAGGTTTAGAGTGTTTCAGGTTCTGTCATGTATCAAAATTCGGGGACCAAGTGAACCCCAAAATGGGGATCATACACCCCGTGCTCTCGTCATCCCTCAGACGGTTGTCGACCATAAACCCTTGTATGCCTCCTGGTCATAGCAAGTTCTAGTTCACTCCTCCCTAGGTGTCTCAATGAAGTTCTATCATACAGGATCTCAATTATCTGCCAATATTGTCCCCCCGCCAACATGTTGCCATTAACTGTTGACATGTACCAAAGGAGCATGTTATGGCGACGGGGAGTGCCCTGGCGTTAAAAAATGTATCGCAAGAAGCCGTGGGCCCACACAGCGTGTGCCCCTTGGTTTCAAGCTGGGGTTAGGGTTCAGGGAAGCCCTCCCCTGAACTGCGAACCGCCCTCACACCCGGTTTACCGTCGTCTAGGCCAATCAGCCAGATTCATCGTGAGAAAGCTGGCAATAGCAAGCTGCCGAAATCCCAAAGGAAACAGGGTGCAGGGTTTACCCCTAAACCCTAAACCCTAAACCCTAAACCCAAAACCCTAAACCCAAAACCCAAAACCCTTAACCCTAACCCTAAACCCTAGGTCGAGGTTTTGGGTTTAGGCTTAGGAGAGGAACTGCAGCGGACGGCCAAGGTTCAAGTTCGTCAAGGCTTTCTGCAGCTCATCCGGGGAGTGTAGCTGGTCCCCATTCCTCAGTAGTTGGTGCTTCAGGGAGTTTAGTGGTTTAGGCTTTTGGGTTTTGGGTTTAGGGTGTAGTCCCCATTCCTCAGTTGCTGGTGCTTCAAGGGTTTGGGGTTTCTGCTTTAGGATTTTGACAAGGGTTTAGGGTTTAGGGTTCAGGGTTTAGTCCCCATTCCTCAATACTTGGAGAGACTAAGCTTGCAGACCCTGCCTCGGCCTAGGCTTTAGTGTTTGGGTTTCTCTAGCTACGCTCCTATCTAGTCTTGGTGGCCCAGTAACCCTGAACCTTGGGATGCTCCCCCTATTATACTAGCAGTCCTTTAGTAGGGATTTATAGTAGGGGGTACCAGAACCCCTATAAAGGACTGTTAGTATAAGGACATCCCACCCTGAACCCTACCTACACCTCATAGGAGCCCCTGGCAAAGCCCTAGCAGGGGTCAGCGCGAGCCCTGAAGATGCAGGAAGCCCTCAATGGCCAAGCAGAGGGTTCAGGGTTTAGGGCTTAGGGTTTAGGATTTAGGGTTTAGGGTTTAGGGTTCAACAAAGTAACATGGCCTACTTGGCTGGGTCTGGGAAGGCACCTGAGGCACTTCACTCTTAGCAACTGAAAGACATCCTCGGCTGCAAGCCCAGGCGTCGTGAACATGTGTACCAGGTGCTGGTTTGTCCTCTGAGGCGGTAGCAAGGGAGGGGGGTCCATCTTCAGGCAGAAGCTTAGGAACTTGACTTGGCTGCACTTAGCAGGGCAGCTATAAATTTAGTTTTTTGCAGCCTTACTAAGAAACCCCATAAACCCAAAAAGGCTCAGGACCTAAAGTTACAGTAAAGCACCACAGAGTTGATGTGGTGCTGAGTGAAGAACCCTGATTTTTTGGCAACCATCCACTCCCAGCCACCTCAGCCCCTGGAACCCACCGCAGTGTCAAGAGAAGTCCTGGAAACATGCTCGATGTCTCGCTGGAAGTAGATGACGGCCTGTCCCAGACGCAGACAGCGGAAAGGAGAGCTGTGGTTTAGGGTTTAGGGTTTAGGGTTTTGGGGTTTAGGGTTTAGGGTTTAGGGTTAGATTGAGGCTTCTGGAATAGGTCCAGGGTTCCAGTTTTGGGGGAACGTAAACCCCTAGCCTAAATACCCCAACACCCAAACCCTGACTGAACCTGAGAATTTGCTCGCCAAATCGCACCTTTTCTAGCCTAGAGCCAGGGCTGGAATTCTTGTGCGGGTTAGGATTTAGGGTTATTGGGTTAGAGGGTATAGGGTTTAGGGTTATAGGGTTCAGGCTCAGGTTTCAGGGCTTCGGATGTAGGACTTCTTGAAGGTGCAGGTATGTTCTGTTCTTCCACCAGCCTAGCTATCGCACTCCATGGGGCCATGTTTAGGATTTAGGGCTAGGGTTTAGGGTGAAGGGTTTAGGGTTGAAGGTTTAGGGTTTAGGGTTTCGGGAAACTGAACAAGTTCGGTAACCAAACCATGGACAAGTAGGTGTTGGGCTCTTGAAGCGAGCCTGGAACGGGATGCATCTTTGTAGTGTATTGCTCTGAACTTCTTTGAGTGTCCCCCCCCCCCCACACCTCTCCAACCCCAACAGCCTGCGACGTGACGGCGACGCTAAGGACGATGTGGATCAGGAACTTGCAAGGAAAGCCTCAACCCAAAACCCCATCATGAGCTCATGCCCTAAACCCTATCCCCAAACCCCGAAGCCCTACGACCTATTTCTCCTGAGACCTAAGGGCCGACGGCCCCATATTTTGGGGAATTCGAGGACCCTAGATGGTGTTGTGCCCTGAGTGTTCTGGGAATCGGATTAGTAGGTCTCTGGAAGTAGTTGAAGACACATGATCAGCTCTTCTGCGAGCAGTGCAGAGGAAAGTGTCAGGTTCAAGCCTGAGGACCCACATCCCCGAGCCCTGTATCCACCCTCAAGACCACATGCATCCCCAGCCAAAGTTTGAGATCGCGTATCCTAGACTTCTGTGATTTGAGTGAATAAGGTTCAACGACCCTACACCCTAAGCCCCAAACCCTTTTGGGGCGCACTCTGTCGCCCAAGGCATATCCCTACAAGACCCCGGAACCCGGGGACCAAATGAACCCGCCACACCCCGCCACACACAGGTTTCGACTCTCGCACTAGCACAAGCAGGCAAGGCTCCGGTAGGTCAATCTCGTGAGAGGACTGGGGTTCAGGGTTTAGGGTCATACGTAATGCCCTTGTACGAATAGAACTACGACTAGAATTTCCATAAAGGTACATGAACCCTAAACCCTAAACCCTAGACCCTTTAAACGGGGTTCATTTGGTCCTCCCAGAAAACGTAGGCACTGTGATAACTCGAAGACCTGGGCGCAATGCAGCACAAGCCACGCTTGTAGTGGACCCACTTTTCAAAGGGATTCAGGAAGAGGGTCTCCACCTGGGCTCGTAGGGTTTAGGGTGTAGGGCTAGGGTTTAGGGTTTAGGGTTTAGGGTTTGGGGTTTAGGGTTTAGGGTTTGGGGTTTGGGGTAGGGTTTAGGGCTTAGGGTTTGGGGTCTACCTCGGAAGGGTCCTCTGCCAAAGCCATGTCAGGGCCTCTAGATCGCGTAGCGAAGCCACCCCGAAAGACACATTTTTGAACCCGGAGCACGAAGCCCTAAACCCTAGCCCTAAACCCTAAACCCTAAAACCTAAACCCTAAACCCTAAACCACAAACCCTAGCCCTAAACCCTAAACCCTAAACCCTAAACCCTCGAGAGCGCTAAGCGCCGCACGATGTGCATCTGCGGGTCCTGTGGACGCCGGCGGCACATCGCGGCAGGCGCTCGACGGAGCCGCAGGGCATGCGAGAAGCGAAGGCGGCTCTTCTCTTGCCCCTTTGGGGCTATTTAGGGTTTAGGGTTGAGGGTTTAGGGTTTATAGGGTTTAGGGTTTAGGGTTATGTGCAAGCACTCTCTGCAACAGCAGGGTTTAGGGTCTAGGGTTTAGAGCATGGAAGGCTAAAAAGTGGCTGGGTTTAGGGTCTGAGTGAGGAGTTGTAGGGTCTGCTTAAGTTGGCTTCTGAGTTTAGGTCCGAGGTGCTAGCTGCTAACACGGTTTTTGGGCCCTTACAGCATCCGGCTCGTTATATCCTATTAACCCTAAACCCCCTAAACGCTGAAGCCTGAACCCTAAACCCTCCAGAGTGGGGGATTGGTAAGGCTCTGCAAGTTGAGCCATCAGCTGAGGAGTGTAGTGAATCCACAGGAGAAGGGGTTTAGGGTTTAGGGTTTCGACTTTAGGGTTAAGGGTTTAGGGTCGCCTGCCGACCTTGTGGAGCTCCTCAAGCCCTACCGAGTAGGGATCCCATGTATCCTCAACTTGGGATCAGACACCCCTATGCTACCACGCTCCCGATCATACACCCTAAACTACCAAAATCCCGATTCGGGCGTATGGACTGCTTAATCCGGATTCCGGCTCTCACTAAGCCCCTATAGAGGCCCGACAGTGAATTCCTAAAGCCCTACAACTGCACGACGAGCCCGCAACGGCAAACCAAGGATGACTACGGAGGCTGAAAGATTGAAGGGAGCAATGAAACGCTCTCAAGTGTGACGCGAAAAGTGACCAGCTGAGGTTGAATTCTCACCGTCATCCTCCGAAGCCCACGAGCAACAGAAGCCCACACATCGCAAAAAACTAGAAGGCGCCCTAACTTTCAAAACCCAAAACCCTACTTGTTTCGCAGGCTCCCCTTAGAGGGTTCTTAAGCAACCTGCAACAACAAATAGGTTTTGGGGCTCTTCAGGTAAACCCTGACTAGCCCTCAACGCTCTTCCCCGGGCAGATGGGACCTCGAAGGCATGACTCTTCAGCAAGATCTCTCGGAAGGAGAGGCCCTGGGGCCTCTGCCAAGAAACCCAGGAAGAGGCCCAGAACCCAAAAAAAATTTGGGGTTTCCGAAATTAGGGTGTACCCTCCTGGGGTCCTTATTATTGCAAGGGAATCCTACTGTTTGGGGACGATTTTTGGCGTCCCCTTTTTTTCGTAAAACCTCCATATCCCGAAAACGCGGAGGGGCTGTGGGGGGTCAAGGATGTTCTTGAAGGAAGGGGTCTTCTTGGAGTGGGAATTTGTGCTTGAGCTTCAATCCAACCTGCAAAAAACTGGGCCAATGGGGAACCTTAGCCTTCCAATTTAGGGTTTAGGGTTTAGGGTTTAGGGTTTAGGGTTTAGGGTTTAGGGTCCCTGAGGGCTTTTAGGGTTTGGTGTTCGAGGATTTCGAGGATTTCGCTCGGCACCATCAGGCATGTCATCACGCTCTCCCACGCCCCTTTGGCTGCTCCTATGGCCGTGATTGCAAGCTATGTGCTAACGGTAGCCTGAACCCTTTTTGCAACTGGGCCTGCAGGCTAGCCGGATCCAAGCAGCACTGAGTCAGCAGTCGTCACCCAAACTGTCAAGGATGAGCGGCCAGGTTGATTGCAGGGCGTCACGAAATTCCAGGAGTGGTCGGAGGAGGTCTGTCCAAACCGCCTGAACCCAATGAATGCCTGAACGCAGAACCCTCTCCCTCTTTACCCCGCTTTATTATGGGGATATACTACCTATGAATATATAATATATATATATATACACATAAATAAATAAATAAATAAATAAAAATATAATATATATATATATATATGTGTTCATGTATGCGCTTATTTATTTATACAATAAGGCGTGCTCGACGAGTGGCTCGTCCGGCGCTGGGAAGGATGTCTCATCCGTGCCTTACACGCTCAGGCCTATATAAACAAAGCTTTGTAAACCAGAAAGACTCAGAAAGACGACTTAAGCCCAGAACCATCATTCCCTCGATATGTCTTAGGGCAATTCATCCTCCTAGGGTTGAGACAAGCACAGCTGGAATGCCCAAGAGCTTAGGTTTGGAGCTGTTAGGGGAGTGTTGCCACCGGATCCCTAAACCCTAAACCCTAAATCTAAATCCTAAACCCTAAACCCCGCCACACAGCCCCTAAACCGGACTCAGGGGTCTGCCACTTCGCTCCACCCATCGCTTCAGGAGTTCCACGATGGACGACCGGTCGGACGCCTCCCCAGTGCTTCAAGAAGAGTAGGGGGGGTGCGGAAGTAAGGGGCGAGTACGCCGTACACCCTAAACCCTAAACCCTAAACCCCACAGCCCCTCTCCCTCCGCCTGCCGGCCCTGCGTCTCCAGCTCAGCTCCCACTTCGACGGCTCCCCGCGCGGCGCGGGGGTTCCGAAACCTGAGGGGTAGGGTTTAGGGTTTAGGGTTTAGGGTTTAGGGTTTAGGGTTTAGGGTTTAGGGTTTAGGGTTTAGGGTTCAGGGTTCAGGGTTCAGGGTTCAGGGGTCACGGGTTTAGGGTTTAGGGTTTAGGGTTTAGGGTTTATTCGGCTCTCACACTCGCACAATCCAGGCAAGGATTCGGATCGAAGGTTTAGGGTTTAGGGTTTAGGGCATAGTTTAAGGCGTATCAGGCGTTTAGGGTTGTAGGGTTCAGGGCTCAAAAAGGGTTGAGGTGTTGGGGTTGAGAGTGTTACGGTGTTCGGGCTTGTTAAACAGTATATGCAGGGATTTCTAGAGGGGACCCTGAATCTTATTCCCTATATCACCTCTCTATATGCCCTACAGTCCCAACATCCCGAAGTAGCCCCTACATTGCCCCTAAGGTCCCTTATAAGGGCCCCTCCGGTGGTGCCTTGAGGTTGGGGATCACAGGGCTCACAGAAGTTCATACGGGATCCCTAAACCCTAAACCCTAAACCCTAAACCCTAAACCCTAAACCCTTTTGAATCCGGACTTGATGACTGCCAGACGAGCCAGACTTACAAACATGACAACCTCTCCTGCTCTTCAGGTGAGGGCTGAAAGGAGAAAAGCCAGGCGCAGTAACTAAACATTCGCTAGCCGACCCAAGCTTCATGTATCTACCTGCGTATCTTGACTCAGGCGCGCCAGGCGATGTTCTCGGCGCTGTGCCTTGAAAGCCAATCGTTGCTGGAGATGGTCCTCCTTCAAGCGCTTCAGATCAGCACGGCAGACCTGGTCTGAGGACGAAGCCGTGTGTTCACCAACCATGCTGTGCGGTTGAGCACTGACAACGTTGTCGTCATCTGTAGGCGACTCCACGACACCAACCATGCTGTTTGGTTGAGCACTGACATCGTTGTCGTCATCTGTAGGCGACTCCAGCTGAGCAAGCTGTTCCCTCAGAGACACGATGGTATCCATCTGCTCCTTTATCTTGGAATTAGCCTGCTCCAGCACGGACATGTACTTGCTCCCGACATTGTGCATGATTGCCTCGCACTGAGTCCGTGAGATCACCTCATTCTCAGTCTGGCAGGAGGCATCGAGCCCGATTGGGGACACGCCACTAGGCTCAGTCTGAGCGCCACGTTCCACCGTCACTGCTGGCGGAATTGACAAGCGTGCTATTTCAGCCTTGAGATCTAGCAGTGCCGGCGTGAGCTTCGCAGCGACGTCACTGAGCCCAAGTTTGTGACACGAACGTCGGGTGTACGCAATGCAGGAGGTCAGTTTAGTCATCTGTTCCACCATGGCTACACAAAGGTCTAGGATCGAATCCTGAAATCTCGAACCAGAATGGCTTGAGCCGTACCCTAAACCCTAAACCCTAAACCTTAAACCCCTATAGGGTTCACTTCATGTTCCATTCCCTTTACCGTGCATAGCCCTTGGGGGTTAGTTTGAGGCATGGCGTCCGGGGGGCTTCTGGACCACTTACAAATTAGGGACCAAATGAAGGCCGAAATCGGATCATACACCTCATGCTCTGCCAATCCCCACTCGAGCCGTGGACCACAAACCCTTTTAGGGTACATGCTGAGGCCGCCACCAGGCCATGGCGACAGGACGCAACGGCAGGTCATGTGGGCGTCTGCTTGGGGTCGGGGGTTTGGGGTTTGGGGCGCCTAGAGCTGGCGCTGCACAAGGTGCGGCTGTGTGGGGTCTATATATACGTTTCAATTTCATGGGTTCGGGGCTTTAGGATTTGCTTTTCACCATGCCTCGGTAGGATTGACGTAGCTAGATGGGGCTGCCGACAGGTAGTCCGAACTTGGGACCTGCCTTTCGCTTTCGAGACAGAGAGAGAGAGAGGGAGAGAGAGAGAGGATTTGCTTTCTGAACTTACGCTCTTTGCCTGATTTGCCCTTGATTGAGGTATACGTGGCTCAAGTACGATTCCTGGAGCTGCCTGGTCCGAGCTCTGGGATTTCAGGGTTTTCCCAGTTGGTTCACCCAGATACGTGAAGCCCTGGCATGCGACATCTCAGGTCTACTCCATCAAGCAGCATGCTGCAAGCCGCAGCGGGATGGCAAAGGCATGTCTTGGCCCAAGCCCTCAACCACCAACGTCTGTACCAAAACCGCTGAAGTGTACGTAGTTCTGCCTGCGAGCCTTGAAGGTAATGGGGTACAAAATGCTTTGGTGGATTATCCTAATCCAAACAACGCCCCCAAACCTGCAACCCCCTCCTCCCCCCCCGCCCCCTCCAACTCCTACTTTCCCGCACTCCCTCTCGATCTAAACCCCTGCAAGTCATGAACCTTCAACCCTATATATATATATATATATGTATATATATATATATGTCGGCGCAGGCCACCAGCCCTGACTCCCTCAACCCTCAACCGCAGCCCTCTGCATATGTGCAGAAGAGGAAACCCGGGCTGCGATTCACGCAGCTGTGCGCCATCCTTGGCTAAAACGGCATGCCCGGACTTTGTATGGGGTTCAGGTTTACTGGCTAAGTAGCCCTAAACCCTAAACCCTAAACCCTAAACCCTAAACCCTAAACCCTAAACCCTAAACCCTAAACCCTAAGTCTACCGGTCGACAGGGTTGAGGCTGGTTGAGGGACGGAATGTCTCCAGATGATGCAAGTTCTGCAACAACACCAAAGGAGCAAACCCTGGGACACCAAACTGGTGGCAACTCTCAACGCCGTGAGAATATGGCCAGAAGAAGTGGGCGTGGTGCCTACAAGGTTTCAGGCCTGAGGACCCGGCCACGAAGATGTTGCCTGCACGACTTTCGCAAAAAGTTTGCAACCCCGGCCCTGCAAAAACAACTTGCAGCGTGCCGACAGCTTCGTGCTGACAGGGTGCAGAATATAGCTGCTGCAAAGTGGCACCCTCTCTACACGCATGTCAGGTGGCAAGCTGCAGATCTTACCTTCTTTGGGGGCCGAATGAACCCTAAAAAGGGCCTGTGGTGGTTCGTATACCTTAAACGGGTTACAGTAGCCTAGGGTAGATGACCCTCAATTTCAGGGCTCATGCGGTCCCCAAGAAAACCGACTGGCCGCCCGCCAACACCACGGACGTGGAACATTCTTTGCAGACGCATCTTTGTGATCTTCCAAGGCGAGTGGTGTGAGACCTTGGGGGGGCACCTTTGGGAAGGTGAGAAAATGAACCCGTAAGGGCGTCCATGGAGTCTGGGTCTCTAATCCTATAGGCCCGAGTGGAACCTAGGAATCGAAAGGGTGCCCTTTTTTGGGTTTAATGGGCTGAAAAGGGAACCTAAACACAAAAAAAGGCCTACTCTGGGCCCCAAAATCTGGGACCGTCATCATAGAGTACATAATCCCGATGTTAGGGTTCATTCTATCCACGCAAGGCCAGAGGAGCCGCGAACTGTTCGCGCCCCTCTGAAACCTACGGCGGTTCCTGCTTCGCTTCGGCGGCTGCCGCACAGGATCCGGAAAAATGGCTTAGGGTTTTTAGGGTTTAGGGTTTAGGGTTTAGGGTTTAGGGCCGAATCTACAGAATGATGGCTGTCTGGTCCATGACCTGCTCCACCTTCAGGAGGCCCACGGCCTCCAGTCGTGCCTTCAGCACTGCAGGCTGGAACGCCTAGGCTGGTGAAGGGTTTAGGGTTTAGGGTTTAGGGTTTAGGGTTTAGGGTTTAGGGTTTAGGGTTTAGGGTTTAGGGTTTAGGGTTTAGGGTTTAGGGTTTAGGGTTTAGGGTTTAGCGTCTAGGGTCTAGGGTCTAGGGTCTATAGGATCTGGGGTCTGGGGTCGAGGATCTAGGGTCTAGGGTTTCGGGCTTAGGGGGGGAGACAAGCACTCGGGGAGGACATCTTAACATCTTCAAACTCCCTGTACAAAACTACACGGCCAAACTACAGCCCCCCCCCCCCCCAACTGCAGGCAATGTCTGCTTCTTCCCTAAACCCTAAACTGGGCACCAAAGCGTGCGGCCCAGCGGCCCCCATGGGCGGGAAGATGCCCCCGTCTGCTCGGGTGCAACCGGCCACCTTCCGCATAAACCCTAAACCCTAAACCCTAAACCCTCAAACCCTCAAACCTGAAAGAACTCGACATCCATGAAACCACATCTGGATGAGAAAAGCATATGTTGCACCTTGTCCACAAAGGATCCCTACACCCGAAACCGAAAACCCTAAACCCTTTTTGAACCCAAAACCCTGCAACCCTACAGCCCTATACCCAAAACCCCAAACCCTACCACCCTACCACCCTAAAAGCCCCAACGCCCTAACACCCCAACCTAAAACCCAAAAACCCAAAACAACCCGAAAGCCCCAGAAGCCAAAACCCTAAAAGCCTAAAAGACGAAAAACCTAAAAGGCCAAAACCCTAAAGGCCTAAAACCCTGAACCCTAAACCCTAAATCCCAAACCCTAAACCCTAAACCCTAAACCCTAACCCTAAACCCTAAACCCTAAACCCTAAGGGGTGAACCCTAAACCCTAAGCCCTAAACCCCACCTTTCCGGCGAGGCAAAGGCCGGCTTCGGCGAGGCCCTGCGCTGTGAAGCGATACCCCGGATCGCCCTCTCCGGACCTTTGCTGGAGGGAGGGTTTAGGGTTTAGGGTTTAGGGTTTAGGGTTTAGGGTTTAGGGTTTAGGGTTGAGGGTTTAGGGTTTAGGGTTGAGGGTTTAGGGTTTAGGGTGTACGGTTTAGGGTGTATAGGGACTAGGCAGAGTTGTCTCACTCTCTCTCTCTCTCTCTCCCTCTCTCTCTCCTCTCAGTCTCCCCCTCTCCGTCCGCCCCCTCCCCTAAACCCTAAACCCAAAACCCAAATTGAACCCAATTGCATCGTTTACATGCTAAAAAGTAAGTGCAGCCCCCAACCCTAAACCCTAAACCCTAAACCCTAAACCCTAAACCCTAAACCCTAAACCCTAAACCCTAAACCCTAAACCCCCCCTCTCCAACAGATTCCCAGGAACAGGAGCACCGTGGCGCTGCGGCCCGCGGAGGTGGCTTTGAAGCGGTAGGCCCAGGAGCCGTCCCGGAAGACGGCAGGAGTGGGGCACCTGAGGTATGTATATGTGTATGTATATAACATATAAGAAAATCATGTATAGGAATATTCTATATACATATGCTATATACACATATACTATCCGAAAATATTGCACGTAAACATGTTCTTTAAACTGGGGCTTATCTAGGGCTGCCTTTGTAGAGGTTCCGGGAGAGTTATAGAGGCGGGATTCTAGCTTGAGAAGTGCTTGTAGGGGCCAGGCTTGCGCGTACCTTCTGGCCGACTCTCTGACAAGAAGGAGTCTCCTGCCTACATAGAGCTTTGAGGCTTAGGGTCGGCAGCCGGAACATTGAGGGAGTTCAGGTTTCGGGCTCGTCAAACGCAGGCTTTATTTAGAGGACCCGGAAACTACCCAAATGCCGGCAAAGCCGCTGTGTAAGCTTGCTCCAAGATCCGGGATGCTCGGCAATGAATGCACCCCACCTCAGGCAAGTGCTGGGCTGGCTCGGACCTCGTGAAGCCCCGCTCGAACCCTGGAATCCTAAAAACCCTTTAAAGCCCGAATTCTGAACTCTTACGAACCTTCAACATGAACCCCGAAAAAGAAACCCTGTATTCAACCCTAAACAAATTGAAGCCCTAAACCCTAAACCCTAAACCCTAAACCCTAAACCCTAAACCCTAAACCCTAAACCCTGAACCCTAAACCCTAAACCCTGATGGTGCGCCCCAGGCCTGGGGTACATGCCGGAGCTCGAGCCGACCCGAAGTTCCACGGATTGGCCCAGGTGGACGAAGGATCCTAAGCTGGGCATCTGGGATGGGGTTTAGGGTTTAGGGTTTAGGGTTTAGGGTTTAGGGTTTAGGGTTTAGGGTTTAGGGTTTAGGGTTTAGGGTTTAGGGTTTAGGGTTTAGGGCCCTTCCATCGGATTTTCGGATGTTTCTCGTTTCTATAGGTGGGTTTGATATGGGGTTCTGTAAAGGGGTTCTATAGGGTTTCATGGGGGTTCTATAGACCGCTTGTAGGGGTTCTTAGAACCCTCAACCCTGGGCTCTAAACCCTACACCCAAAACCCAACAAGGGCGGCTCAGGCGGGTATCGTCGCAGCAGGCGCGCGTCATAGGGCCCGAAGATGTTGGCGACAACCAGACCCTCGCCGGACACGAAGGAAGGGTAACCCATGCCCTCCACCTGCGCGAACGGCAGTTTGAAGGGGGTTCGGGTTTAAGCCCTAAACCCCATAACCCCAAATTCGGGTCTATAGGGTCTAGGGGTACAAGTTTCCATTGTTTGGGAACTGAGGATTTCAGATTGGGGGTTGTCGTTGGTTGCAGCCGATCGACTGGGAGGGTTTCGGGCACTGTGGCCGCAATATGGACTGGCGGAGCCGGATTAAGAGTTGTCAATGTGGGCATAGCCACCCAAAGGCGTCAATGAGCCACCCAGGCTTAGAATCCCTTCCAAGCGTAGGGAGGGGGTTCAAGAGTTTATAGGGTTCAGGGCATTTTCCCGGTGGTTAGTCTGAAATGTGAACTTGTACCCCGAAACCCGAAACCCGAAACCGGTCCGATCTCCAGATAGCCCCAGTTTCAACCCCAATGGCTGGGCGCTGATCCGTCAATGCCTTGATGGCATGACCTTGTCGTAATTACTTTCGCTGCATGTTTTTGTTCGCTCACCAAGAGCCAGGCGACTTTGACAGTCACGACCTCAGACCGCTGCTGCTGCTGCTGCTATAAACCCTATAAACCCTATAAACCCTGTAAACCCTGTAAACCCTATAAATCCTATAAACCCTATAAACCCTATAAACCCTATAAACCCTATAAACCCTACAAACCCTACAAACCCTACAAACCCTACAAACCCTATAAACCCTATAAACCCTATAAACCCTATAAACCCTATAAACCCTATAAACCCTATAAACCCTATAAACCCTATAAACCCTATAAACCAAATAAACCCTAAAAACCCTAAAAGCCCTAAACCCTAAACCCTAAACCCTAAACCCTAAACCCTAAACCCTACCTTCGTGTCCTTGCGCAGGGCGCTCGAGGCGTTCGGGGCCAGAACGTACGGGTCGCTGTCCCAGGCCTCCACAACGCAGCGGGAGCCCAGATTTCGCATGGAGCACTCAGTTAGGCTTTAGGGTTTAGGGTTTAGGGTTTAAGGTTCAGGGTTTAGGGGTACAAGTTTTGGTTTCTTATGCTAGAGCTGGAGAGGGTTGAATGATGAAGCTTAGATAGTATGAAGGGTCTCGTCCACCACACCCCTCCACACAACCCTCAACACAAGGCTTTGGTGCGGTGTGCCTTGGGATAGCTGACGTTTTTCATGACCTTGGCTGTGTTGATGACGCCGGCGCTCACGCCGCCATTGTACTTCTCGAGCCAGGCCTTGTGAGTCAGTTTCTGTAGGCTTAGGAAAGTAAGGCTTTGAGGTGGTTGAGGACTTGGGCTGTAGTAGGCTCGAGGACTCCAAACCCTACAGAATCCTAAGGCCTTTCAGGGCTTAGGGTGTAGGGTTTTAACCCTGAACCCAAACCTGTTGCTCAAGTCTTTCGGGTTTTTGTCAGCGTCCGGAACCTTATGAGCCTCACGCCTATGTTAATCTAGAGGGGTTTCGGTTTACGGATTTAGGGACAGAGTTTGCCTAGACTTCTTCGGCTCTCACAACTCGGGACAGGTCCCAATTCCACGTGAAAAAAAGGTGCACATGTTACAGCACGTCAACAGGATTCTCACTCATCTGACACATGGTCAGTTCTTTGAATTATGGTCCCTGTTTGGGTACCCTAGACAAGACGGGCCGCCTTGTAATGAGAACCGCGGCAGGGACACCCTCTTTTTAGAGAAGTGAGCACATACTGGAAACCCTAAACCCTAAACCCTAAACCCAAAACCCTAAACCCTCAAAGCCCCTGTAACTTGAAATCATTATGACAATCCAAAAAACGAAACTCCTTGAAAGTCCTCGAAACTTCCCCGGACCTGAACCCTTAATAATTTCAATAAACCCTAAACCCTAAACCCTAAACCCTAAACCCTAAGCCCTAAACCCTAAACCCGAACCTAGATCAGGGAACGATGTTGATGGCAACCTCACGTTAGGGAATCGCCCGAGGGGCATCGAGCTTCACCTCGGCGCCTGTCTGCGACACCTGCTGCAAAGGCAACTGCCCAGGGTTTAGGGTTTAGAGCATAGCTGCCTTAGCTTGGGGCTTCAAGCTGAGGGTGGAAAAGCGGCGGTTTGCTCATGGCCTTGCGAAAGCTTTCGGCCGCACGTCCAAGCGAATTGACGCAGAAGCTGTGAAGGTGGCACAGTTTAAGGACATCGGAAAGTTGGACTGATGGCAAAAGATCCGAAAGCTTTCAACCCCCACGTGGCATGCCTCCCCTGCAACATTTGGGGGTTTACGCAAATAGGCGACCCCAATGTAGATCCCCAAATTGTAGGATCAATTTTAATCAGGACCCTAAACCCGAAACTCTAAACCCTAAACCCACCCCGTCTGAGCCAAATGCCTCCTGCATGGCCAGCTGAGCACCGAGGTCTCCGGCAAGGGCGCAGAAGCCGCTGGACAGCACCACCTCGCAGGTCTTGTGGAGTTTGGGTTAGGGTTTAGGGTTTAGGGTTTAAGGTTTATAGGGTTTAGGGTTTAGGGTTTGGGGTTTAGGGAATCTAAGCTTCTCCATGTATTGCGGGTTCCTTCTGTCACTCTTGACAGACAGAGAGAGAGAGAGGGAGTGCCGGCAGCCGCAGTTTCGCGCACTCACGCCACACCCATGATGACCACATGAGGTCATCACTTAAGTGCATGTTGAGGGCTTCCCATGCAGACACCAGCCTTCGCACCCGACTTCTGTGCCACCGCATCGTATCGGTCCATCATCCAGCGCTGCCAGTAAAACCTCGTCTTCGTTCTCAACCTAAATTAAACCCTAAACCCTAAACCCTAAACAATGAATGCGAATTGTGTGTAGGGTGCCTGAACAAAAACAGTAGCAACCCTACCCTTGGGGACCAGATGAACTGTGACAACGATAATTCCTATTAAGGTATGTGAACCATAAACCCCTTTGGGGTTCATGTAGTCCCCAAGGCTAAACCCTGAACCCTTGGGGATCTCTAGGGCAATGTTTGGTGACTTGCGGCAGCTGGGTCTCCGGAAACACTCTTTACCTACAGACTATTGGGTTACATCCTACTAATTAAAGGGTTTAGGGCTTAGGGCTTAGGACCCTCTGCACAACAGGTTTTATGGGTTATACCCTACTACTGTGAACTGTAGGAAAAATTGAGTCCCAGGTCCCATCTAAGGGGCTCGTCGCTGGTGTCGGCGTAGTGAACCCCCAGCTCGGCGCACGCCTGCGACTCATGAGATCGACTTGCAGAGGCTTTGGTGGTCTCGTGGCCTTCCCCCACCCCCCCCCCTTCTCCTTAAGAGCTTAAGAGCCCTATAAACGTAAACCCTCGCCTAGCCCACTTCCCCCCCCCCCCCCCCCCCCCCGCCGCCAAACCCTGATTGTTTACGAGACAACCTTAAGCACGGAGCCCACGTTTTTGGCTCCAAAAAAAAATAGACGGGAGCTCAGCGCCTTGACCAGAAACTCACCGCCATGGATGCTGAAGGGCCCCGCGGCTGAGATCCTTTTGGGTTTAGGGTTTAGGGTGTGAAGTGGGGGGGTTTCAGGGGCTAGGGGTTCTTTGCTTGTCATACGCTGTTAGGGCTTAGGTTGTGGGGGCTTTGATTCGGAGACTGCTTCTGGTGTGAATTTGGGGTCTTGGCACTTCTCCAGGTGTGTGAGCCCAAGTTGCAGATCCAAGATATTCCAAAAGCGAAGCCGTACACTTGCATGCACGTGAGCATGAAGCTGTTTGTCGATTAGGCTGGCTGCACCCATGAACCCCGAACTCGTCCACAGTTTGAGGTGGCAATACATGCGGATTGTGTACGCCTCTTATAAACAGCTAGGGTTCAGATACTCCTTCATAAGCCTACAAGGGAAACTAGCCACCTGACTGTCCTAGAACAAAGCCTCGGCCCCACATGACAGCTTGTCCGAAGGCCATCCAAGACCCTCCATGTCCCCTCTTCACTTCAGCAAGGGGTCACTGCCCTTGAGCGCTGGACCCACTCTTTCGGATCCTCGAATGTTCAACGAAGAAGGGAAGATTTGGCCAACAAAAAAAACCCAAGATACAGACCGGGTACAAACTGCTTAAACTTTGTGTATATAGGTCTTGCCCCAAATTTCTTTATCGTTTTGCTCATGTTTTCTTCGGAGGGAGTTTAGTCTACGACCCAAACAGGAACTGCTATTTCAACTTTCAAGCTTCGGATTGAGCCCATTGAGCTTAATCTGAGACCTTGCTGAGCCCAAGAGCTTTCAGTGTACGGATGTGGGACAAGGGATGCCGAGCCGCAAAGCGGTGGCATCCTCAAACATCTGGGAAGTTCTCTAAATTAGGGCCCCCGCCCCCCCCCCCCCCCCCCCCTTTTTTTTTTTTTTTTTTTTTTTGGGGGGGGGGGGGGGGGTCCTTATCATAAGGTGCTGTGCTACATGGGACCCAATAAGCGAACGTAATCTGGAGAACTACTCATCTCGAGAACCCAAAGGCACAAAAAACAGTTGCTCCCGCGCGGCACTCTTTCCATCCAGGGATGCGACGATGATCGAGGGCTCGGAGATATTCCCCAGCGACCGCAGGTCCTCCACAGGGCAGGCGTGTTGCACCAAAAATGACTGCCTTCGAACCCCAAATGCTGAACACTGTCTGCCGCCCCCGGAAACCTGAATCCTGAACCTTATCACCCTGAACCTTCAACCTGAACCTGGCACAAAGGTCAAATTTTTCTACTCGCAGGAGCGAAGCTTGGAGACTTTCTGGGCTAGGTCTGAGAGTAACGGGGCGAAGAAGTTTACAGGGCTTGGGGTTACACGGTTAGGCTTAAACGGCTTAAATTCTGCGCCCTCGATGCATCTCAGTGGATTCATGTCCTGACGCCAAAGGCTCCATGATCGAACCCCACAGCCTCTCTAAACCCTGGGTTCAAGATTCAAAGGGTCCATCGGGCACGCTTCCATACAACAAAGCCGGCAGTTTTGTGCGGCTGTACACAGGGCGTTTGGGGTGTAGGGTTCAGGGGCCCAGGAGGCCCGAAGCCACAGGTGCCAACACGCTTTGTAGGTGTGGAGCCCACAACGGCTCCTGTAGCACCGACTGCAGCTTCGTGCCATTCCCTGCAGGGAAGGGTGTAGGGTTTAGGGTTTAGGGTTCAGGGTTCAGGGTTCAGGGTTTAGGGTTCAGGGTTTAGGGTTTAGGGTTTATGGTTTAGGAGTTAGGGTTTAGGGAAGAATCGAGGATGAGTTTAGGACTTAGAAGGGGTTTGGGTGGGTGGGGGGGGGCCCTGCCACAGGCCGCAGGCCCTTGTTCCCTTAAGCATTCTTACAGCCTGGCTTTGGGGGGGGCGGGGGGGGGGGGGGGAATGTGTGTGGGTTCAGGGATTCCGAATGCTCCGAATGCTCCGAATGCCGGTTTGCAGAGGCGACGGTTTCAGATAAGGGTTCACAAAGTCGAAGGGCCCTGTTTCGGGTTGAAACTAGAGCCAAACGGGCACATTCGGCATGAGAGGATATTCATAACCATCCTGAACCTGAACCCTTTGAATTCCACATCTTAGTGGTTCTGAATAGTAAATTTGGGAATGAGCCTCCCTACCTGACCCCTTAGCAGGTTTTTGGATGTGAGGTACCTGATTCCCTAATTCCCTATGAGGAACTCGTATGTAAGCTATTCATAGTGGCCGAATCCCCAAACCCTAGACCCTAACTCCCTAAACCCTAAACCCCAAACCCCAAACCCTAAACCCCAAACCCCAAACCCCAAACCCTGAACCCTAAGCCCTAAGCCCTAAGCCCTAAACCCTAAATCCCCTGCCCTTGAGAACATCCTGGTGCCCAGCGAGCGTCTGCCCGCAATGGCCCACTTCAGGTCCGGCTGCACCTCAGTGGCTGCATCGCATGCCCAAGCCCCTTTTTCACAAGGGTTTAGGGTTTAGGGTTTAGGGTTTAGGGTTTAGGGTTTAGGGCTTAGGGTTTCGGGCGGGTTTACGGTTTGGGGTTTAGGGTTTCCTGTAAACCCTGAACCCTCTTAACCCTCTGAGCCCTCTAAAGCCTCTAAACCCTCTAAACCCTTAACCCCTCTAAACCCCTGAGCTGCGATTCAGCAGCTGACCCTAAACCCTAAACCCTAAACCCTAAACCCTAAACCCTAAACCCTAAACTCTAAACCCTAAACCCCGAACCCGAAGAGCCCAGAACGGCTGCAGCAACGTCTCTCGTGCGCGCCCAAGGGGCGGCCAGGTGCTGGGCGGCAAAGTGGCCGACACAGCCATCCTAGGCGCGTGCACTTCACAGGGTTTAGGGTTTAGGGTTTACGGTTGTTTTTGCCACCCGCCTGGCAGACCCCCTCTGGGATCTCTCCGCAGGGAACAGGTTTAGGGTTGATAAAAAGGGTTTTGGATTTAGGGTTTAGGGTGTAGGGTTTAATGATTTGGGTTAGGGATGAGGGTTTGGGGATTAGGCTTTTTCTTTGCCACCCTAGCGGACCACTCTAGGGATTAGGGATTAGGCTTTCGAATTTAGGGATCAGGGTTTAGGATTTAGGGTTTCTGCAAGCACTCCCCGCAACAGCAGGTTCCACTCTCAGACACTTCTGGAGGGTTTCGGAAGTATAGGGTTCAGGGAGTACCCTAAACCCTAAACCCTAAACCCTAAACCCTAGAGTAGGGTTTCGGATATCAAGCTCAGGACTTATGACGGTTTAGGGCTTCGAAGATCTGCGGAGCAAGTCCGGCAAAGGCGAACCAGTGAGGAGTTCCCAGCCTCTATAGTACTACACCACCAAGAGAAGACATATATATATACTCCCCTTATAAGGGGAGTTCTAATTAGAACCTTAATGAAAATTATGTTTTTAGTATCCTCTTGGGTTTTATATAAACAAAAATTTTAAAAACAAATTCCCAAGCGGGATAAGGAACCATATTTGGGCCCTGAACGTCGCCTCTTTCGATCCCAAGCCTCCCGAGAAACTCCGAACCCTTGAGCCCTTTAAGGCTCTCAACACACAAACCGTCACAAACCGTAAAAACCAACCCTCCCCCCCCCCCCCCCCCCCCCCCCCCAACTCCCCCCAAAAAAAAACTGTTCTACGCAAACCCCCTCTGTCCTCAAAACAGTCAAGCAGCAGCTCCGTAGAGGATCACATCGAGGCCTGCGGCGCCCGCTGCTGCCGTCGCCAGGCCGAAGATCAGAAGAGCTCTGAGCATGGCTATCCTGTGAACTACTATTTGCTTAAGAACCACCCAAAAAGTAAGAATGGCTAAGGTCTTTTTGTTGGGCACTCTAGGACTTAGTACGTCGACTTTCTATCCCCTATAAAACCCCTATAAGAATCCCACTAATCCGACTTACGAACCCTGCCTACTAAAGCCAAAAGGGCTCCCAAGTCAGCCAAGCCACACCTCCTGCCCAACGTCCAGCACCCAAGTAGCGCAAGGGAGGCTGGGGGAGAACTTGGCGCCTGATGCTTGAGCCCGATGGCATGCATGTTGTCGTGCTGGCATGGACCGCAGCTGGGGTCCGGGCCTTCCAGTGTCAGGCTTAGGGATCTTTGGCTTCGGGCTTAAGATTTAAGGTTTCAGGCTTGAGGGTTATAGGGTTTAGGGTCTCGGGCTTAAGGTTTACGGTTTTAGGGTTCAGGGCTTTACTTATGTGCTAGAGCCAGGGGTCTAAATTGAACAAGGCCTATGGCCCATGAGTGGCTTTGGGTCTCTGTTCGTCACTAAACACACTTTTGCTGAGAGGTCTTGAGGCCACCGGGGACGAAAGCCTTCAGAACTCCTGAAGTGTGTGAGTTGTTGAAAGCTCTCCCGGGCTTTCCGAAGTGGCGGGCGCTCTTCCGGATGTGAGCGGTTTAGGGTTCAGGGTTTAGGGCTTAGGGTTTATCAGCATGGGCTATTAGGCCTTATAATCCCCTAACCAGCCCTAGAAAGGGGCCTTTTAAAGGGTTATAGGGTATAATAGCCCATATAGGTAGGTCCCCTTCTGCCACCCTTGAGAAACTTGGGGATCCTCATTCGGAAGAACTCCCCAATCCATAGCCGTATAAACCCTGTAAACCCTAGGAAGCATAACCTATAAACCCGATACATCCTGTAAAACTTCTGAAACCCTATTAAGACCTACTAAAACCCTATAAACCCTAATTATAACCCCTATAAACCCTATACACCTTAGAACCCAGACAAACTCTATAACGCCCTATAAGCCCTACAAAACCCTATAAAAGGCTATCAACCCTGTAAAGCCCTCTTAACCCCATAGAACCTTAAAAACCTCTCAACCCTATCAACCCTCAACCCCAAACTCTCCCACGGCACTGTGTGCGCAGGATTGCCCTGACTCGCTCGGCCTAGCGGCTGGCTCAGCTGAAGAACCAACGCCTTCATCTGGGAAACTCTCTCAAGCCTTTTTTTTCTAGGGGTTTGAGGTTAAAAGGTTTGGGATGTACCTACAAGTTGTCTGAGCCCCCGCCCTAAACCCTAAACTCTGAACCTAAACGCTAAACCACCTCATGACATGCTGAACTCTATACCCTTAACCCTAAGCCCTAAACCACCTCATCTAAGAAAAGCGAGAAGCCATCCATCCTACCTGGTTCCTGCCACGTCTCGACCCTGCACTGCACGGGGGTTGATCAAAACGATAGATCCGACAGGCCCTTCTAAACTCTCTACCTTGGGGACGACATGAACCCTAAAGGGTTTATGGTTCATATACCTTAATAGGAATTATAGTAGTCAGTGTATATGACCCCCAATTTTAGGGCTCATTTCGTCCCCAAGGTAGCCAAAGCTCACGGAACATGCGATAGATGCAGAAGTACCCCCTCCCGCCCCAAAAAAGACGTAGAGTTTAGACCAAGTGACTAAGCTCCACATCGATGGTTCTGTTCAGATTTCTATGTTTCTCGCAGAACTTACCTCAGGGCTTCCGAACAGTCAGAGTGCCGCTCCCCTACTCTCAACACGACAAGTATATGGCAGCTTCAAGGCCCCCCCCTCCCCCCAACCTTAAACCTTGGGATGTTCCCCCCTATGCTAACAGTCCTTAATACGGATTTAAATAGGGGGGTACTGTAATCCTTACTAGGGGCTGCTAGTAATTACCAGGAGGAACACCCCAACTTAAACCCTAAACCCAAACCCTCACGCTTGAGAACTGCCAGCTTCGGGACTTGAGACTTAGAAGAACAGACTTCAAAACAGGCTTCACGCCGTACATTTCGACCCCTAGGTGCCTTAGAGCTGGGATGATGCTGGTACACCATGGATTTCGGTAAGAGGCTTTTGGTGCGAGCTTTGTGCCATTGGTGCATACGAACCTACTGACCTATAGAGGCCCCATCTGAGAGTTCTGCTGCACGCAGCGCGTCACTCCAGGCGTCGATGAAGTTCTGCGTGACCACAGTGCCTTTTTGAGAAGACTGGCAGTCAACAAGTGTCAAAGGAGCAGTGTCGACTGCACAGTAATTCATCTTGGCCAGTCAGATTTAAGTACTTCACTTGAAACTGACACGTGATCAAGGGAGTCAGACTCGGACCCTTAAGGACTTACCCCTAAGAGGTTCCCACAATATACTCTTCATGTGGCCCTGATAATTGCCTTAGAGGATCTGTCAACAGGGTCTCCAAACCCAAGGGCACAACCTTAGGGGTCCACGGTATAAAAACCATGAAATGAAAGATCAGGGGTTTAGGGTCTCGACGTTGGGCCTCAATCTAGACTCCTAAAGGAGCACGAACACCGTGGACCTTAAGCCCCATCCAAAAACACCCAAGCCCTGTAAACCTAAACCCCTTGAGCCTCAAACCCCTTTCGCGTCCAGGCCTATGAGACTGCCGGGCAGTGAGAAGTCTGCGGTTTGGGGTTTAGGGTTTAGGGTGAGCCACGAGAGCAACAACCGGTGGAAAACATCTCAGGCCCGAAGCCCCAAAAGTTCAGGTTTGCGGTTCTTGGGCAAGTGTGCAAGATGGATGCTCTCTAGCGAAGATGCTGCAAATTTGTGTAAAAGGGCTTGGGGTGGGTAAGACAACAGCCAGACGTCCAAACGATCAGAAATTGGGAACGCCTAGTTCTGAACATGGTGTCTTTCGGTTCAGGGTTTAGGGTTTACGGTTTAGGGTTTTGCTTCAATGGAAAAGGGCTTCATAATCCCAAGTAAGCCTTAATCAGCCCTAATATGGGAATATGGTCCGCTTAAATCTTCCCTTCCACCCCCTTGGTTCCTTATGATTCGTTTCAGGTATACAAGAAGCAGTCGGAAGTCTTACTGGTGTGCTCAAAGGACACAAAAAAAACGTATGCTGTAGGCCTATACTGATGCATGTATTTGAGCTTCTGGGATCCGCAGCCCCTTGCTCACCCCCAAGTGCCCCTCAAAAGCCATCACAACACGAGGACTTCGGCGGCAACCAAGTTCGAGCCCCTGGCTGCTGAGCAACTCGGGCGGCCATGTCGCAACCGTCATGGTCAGATCTGCCTTTCAGTTGTTAGGCTTACTAGGATGGCCCTTAAGACCCTCTGAAAACTACTCCTACATATTATTGTCTTAAGCCCAATAAGTGCAAGCAACAAATGTCCCAAAGGCATGCCTAGCTTATAGGGGACGCCGACATCGGCCAAGCCTTTCCTGTGGCGACATGGGGGGCCAAGGGACCCCGATCCCACCCAAGCCCTTCTGCAATGCCAAGAATAATCTACACCCACCTCGCAAAGCTGGGTAGTTGAGGAGGTTTCGGACTTCTCAGCGTTCTGAGGTTCCTGAGAAAGGCTTGGGAAACCTCAACACCCTATTTGGGGGCTTCCGAAAATAGGGGCACCCCTTTGGGGGCCCCTTTAAGGGGCTTCTATTCTATTCAGTGAAGAGGGGCTACCACTATTTTGGAAAATACCAAATTCAACCCCACAAGGTCAAGGCCCGCACTTCGACCCTCTCGTACGTTGCATGCAGCGTGTCCTGCGCTGGCGCAAAGGCTGGGACAGGGCTGGGGCTGGAACGAATACGGGGATTTACGATATTAGGGGTATCTTATGGGGTCCTTATGATAAGGGACTTTGTATTGGGGGCGCCCCCCCCCATTTTCGTAAACCCCCCATATGCAATCCAAGACAAGGAGGTCAATGACATCCTAGCAGCCGCTCAGTTCACGTCTTCGGTCTCAGCTTTCATGAAAGCGGCTCTTGGCTCAAGACGCCCACCACCAGTTGGGGCAAGATGTAGCAACAAGCATACACATACAATGATGAATATATATATATATATATAGAGTCTGCACTCAGGGTGTGGGCGTGTGTCTGGCAGTCCCTTCCTGCCATACACTGGCCCCCGGCACCGACATCTACAAAGTCTTAAAGTCTTTGGCGACGAAGTCGAGCTTGACGACTTGGGTCTGGGATTTTACTTGTTGATCGAAGATTTAAGGCTTCCCAACAATTGGTGACCAAATGAACCCTAAAAATTGAGCATTTAGCCTTGACGACCATAATGTGTATAACTCCTATTAAGGTATATGAACAACAAAAACCCTAAACCCTAAACCCTAGACCCCTAGACCCCTAGACCCCTAGACCCCTAGACCCCTAGACCCCTAGACCCCTAGACCCCTAGACCCCTAGACCCCTAGACCCCTAGACCCCTAGACCCCTAGACCCTAGACCCTAAACCCTAAATCCTAAACCCGAGGAAATGCTCCAAGAAGGCCAGTCCCGCTTGTCCGCGGGGTCTTCCGTCTCCTCCAAGACCTCCTGGAGCTTCACCTTGGCCAAGTATCTTAAGGTAAGGTAGGGTTTAGGGTTTAGGGTAGGGTTTAGGGTTTAGGGTTTAGGGTTTAGGGTTTGGGGTTTAGGGTTTAGGGTTTAGGGTTTAGAGTTTAAGGTTTAGGATTTAGGGTTTAGGGTTTGGGGTTTAGGGTAACTTTTGAACTCTTCGGGTAGTTCATGGTCTTATTTTCATATGGGTGCTGCAAAGGGGATCCCTTCCATACCCCTTGTACTGGCCCCACATATCAGAACCCTTTAAGAGAGGTAAGGGCCTATACTAAGGGACCATGTAACTACCCTCACACCAAGGTATCCTACCCTTATACAGGACTGGGAACCCTGTTTTGTTTGTTTGTTTGCCTTAAGCCTTAAACCCCAAACCCTAAACACCATGAGGGCTTAAGGGCTTCTCAGGGTTTATGGTGTGGATGGGGCTGGTAAGGGT